GGGTTGTCTACCCCTCTTTTTGTTTGCCCACTTCGCCTCCCATACAATTCTCGGCAACCTCTCCTTGCCCATCCCGCACATGCGATACTGCCATGCCAGCTTTCTCGCGTCTCTTCCCGACCGTAGAGATTGGATTGTGCGAGGGGGGAGGGGGGCGTTTATGTTCGAGAAGCAACCCACAGAAATCATCCAAGGCAGTTGATAGTTGATAGATGCGGAGAGTCAGGAGAGGGCAGCGCGAGCCCCCCTCTTCTCTGTGTAACTCTCCCAGCGATCAAAGAGCAAGTCCAGAACCAGTCAAAGCGAGTCCAAATAACTCCTGCTATGCGCGATAGTCGGATCCGCCCCATATCGAGGTAGATCAGGGTAATGGGGCGCTGTATGCCGAAGCACGCGCGCTCGACACTTTACTGTGATTGATGGAATTTATTCAGATTTTACATACAGCAGCAGCATCCGGCAGACCCAGACACCAACGCCTTTCCCGCGTTGTGTCTACAGTACTGAATGGCAAGCGCGCCAACCACGTGGCACTACAACTGTCAGGGTAACGACATCAAGCTCGGTTCGCAGGGGAGTGCAACTCCGATCTAGACAGACCAAATCCAAAACTGAACCCTTGCGGCACGTGGGAGGGTTATTGCTCTATCCCCGCAAACAGTTCTCGGTTGTCCGACCTGCGACAATCCCATCATGTTATTTTGCCTGTTGTGTGCGTGCTTAAACAAACCAGATAAAGCAAAGCCTCTCCCCCTACCCGCGCGCGCTCTCAATCTGTATATTTCGGAAATCCATATGGATGGGTGTCATCCCCAACGGCCAACAAGCCAATAGCCATACTAGTTCACCTTCTGGCCATGGGACTGTGCGAAACGCTTGAACATTCAAAACAAGGGGGAGGAAGTTCTCCCCCGCGTGTCTTCGAACGTGTCCCAGCAGAGCTGGGGGGCGAGCAGGCGATCCTGCGTCAACGTTTTAAGGCACTGTGCCGGATGTCACTACTTGCACAGTCAGAGACCGCTAACCCGTTGTGCCTGTTCAAAACATCAAAAAACAAAACAAAAAATAAAAGCGGACACGGACGTGACTCTTTTTATCGACAGCAAGCTCTATATGAACACTATGATCCACGACACCGAATACCACCTATACCTTGATCCCCCCATACCTGTGATCCCCCCCCCCCATAGTCCAGCTACACTCCGACGCCACAACGCAATCTAGAGATAATGAGCGCAACAACACGGGCTACACCAAACGATCGTTGTCGACAGACCCTACACACAAAAATATTCATTTGAGTTGTGCGACTTCGTCCCACACCGCAGCACAAACACAGCACATCGCTAACAAACGATCACATTTGATACTCTTCCGCCTACACCAAAAAAGGCGAGAGTCATGCAAAAACAACCACCGGCCATGACGAAAAAACTAAACTCACAAACCCACATCTTTTGTGGAGACTTAAAAAAACCAAGTGTTGGATTTGACTGCAGCCACTCAAGGGAATCAAAATCACGACTCCTTTGCCAGGTCGCTTGCACCCAAAAATCACGACTCCTTTGCAAGGTCGCTTGCACCCGCGACCCACCCGCCCCCCGCTTGATCCCCCCCCCACGCCTCCCCCAGCGTGTACGACGACATCGGCGGCGACGACACGGTGCTCGCGGCCGTCGCCTCCTCCACGCAGTCACACATGGCCAGCCAGGGCCCGCCGCTGCCGCCGCCGCCGCTGCCGCCGCGCCATCTCGCCCTGCACCCCGCCGTCCCGCTCGAGGAAGTCACCAAGAGCGTCGCCAGATACACGCCGACGAAGGCAGCGGCGACAAGCCTGAACGACACGACGCCGGCGTCCGCCCCCACCGTCACGGCCCTGGAAAACACCACCCCCATCGCCAACACGCCAATCGACTGTGAAACCCCGGCGGTCACCGCCAGCAGGAAGCCGTCCGCCGACCGCCGGCGGTGATGCCGGTCGCTTACTCCGCCGCCGCCGCCGCCGGCGTGGCCGAGAGCGACGTTCAAGAGGTTGCCCAGGGCCGGCCGGGCGAGCATCGTGCAGGCCGCTCGGGACGCGGCGGCGGCCGCGGTAACGGCGGCGAAGGTGGCGTCTCGGGAGAGCGGGCCCGTCCACGTCCACGCCGAGGTTGCTACCCCGGACAGGAAGGTGGCGGCGATAACCTGTCGTTAGCGGCGGGGGGGCAAGCACGTCTCGTGGTGAGACACAATAAATTGATGATGCTTCGGCGAGTTGCTCCCTTCGTGCGGGCAAGAGTGGCGAAAGAGCGTTGGTTTTGCCTGTACGCCCGGCCAGACGAGCACGGCATAAAAACCGTGCGCTTGAAAAACGTTCCGGGTACCTGATGGGCGGAGCAAGAAGAAGGCGGCATAGAGCCTTCAAGTGCTGGTGTAGCTTCAGAGCTCCGGGTCTGTCTGTCCCACAACGCGATGCCTACAAGGCACGCCGATACAGACGACAAAAACAAGAGGCACACCAACAAGCCAGTGCAGTCAGTGCCGAAAAACCAAAACAACACAAGCACACAAACCGCATCTACATACATCGAACGCTGTATGGCGTTGGTTGTGTTCCTCTCACCTGGACGATCGTGGCCGCCCGGAGCGTGCGGACGGGGGAGCGAGCGGCCACCCGCAGCAGCGCGGTCGGAAAGAAGTATCGCGGCAAGGCCAGCGAGGCCACCGCGATCGCCAGAACGACACCGGTGTCTGCAGCCGAGAAACCGAGACCGCCGTGACCCCCTGTTCGTAAAAAAAAAAAATGCCGCGAAGCATGGAGCGAGGATGGATCTACTGCGGAGAACGCTTGGCCTGAGAGGCCCAGGATGACGTGGGACGCACGATAGCTTGAAGAGGGGAAATTCGCGCTGTAAGGGTGACCGAGGATGACTATCGACGACAACACGAAGCAGTGTGTATGCGGTGGCAACCCTTACATAGCCGGCAACACAAGACGCGATCATGAGGTGGGCCCTGCCGTGGGTCGACTTGGAAAGCTTGGCTGCTCTGAAGCAAACGAGGCGACGGTGCCGAAAACGGCGTTCTTGAACCGTCGTCGAGAGCTTTTCCGATAACGCAATCACTTGGTCGCCACGGAGAAATCGAGCCTCAAAATACCAATCCAGGTTGTGCGGCATCGTACGCCACGTACGGTACGCCATGGCCGACTGCCTTCCTCACCAGGGGATAGCATCCATAACGGTAGCAAAGCCTCCGTGGCCGCTTCCAACGCCACCCACACCAGGTGCAGCGCCAGAACCATGGCTGTCGTAGTCTCGCCGCCCTCGCTCCCCCCCGGCGGCGGGCCTTCCATCCTCCACGTCCTGACAATGTCGCCGCCGCCGCGGTTGCCGCCGTTGGCCCGGGAGGAGAAAACGCTCTTCGCTCCGCCCCGCGCCTGCTGCGCGGCTTGGATGGCGCGGATCAAGTTCTGCTCCGAGTTGTCCTTGTCGCTGTCGCCACCTCTTGCGGTTTCGTCCTATGGTGCGGCAGCGGGGAGGTCGTCATCAGGAAGCGTGGTATGGCTTTGAAGATCGGTCTAGGGGAGGGGTGCTATAGTCTCGCCTCGTACGGTAGTTGTGCCGCCTCGGAGACGAGGCGTGCATGGCACTTGGTCGAAAGGTCTAGCGAGACCTACGGCAGGTGTGTAACTCCACCATGCACCAGTGGCACTACGAAGCAGAGAGCACTAAGAAACTAATCGACGTGACCAGGCGATCCCTTTGCACCGCCTTCGAAGAGCGGGCAAACGGGCCAAAAATATCAAAAAGACGGCCGAGCACAGGCACACAGTATCCGATAAAAACATACGCATAGACCGCAACACATCCGTGTTGCAGCCGCCACGCATACCTGCACGCCTCCTGTGTCTTTGCGCCCTGTTCTCTCGCCGACACCACCGCTGCCGTCGCTCCCTGTCGCCCCGATTCGACCGCTGCCCTCGCCCTCCATCACCCACATCCTTCGGGCCGTGTCGTACCGGAACTTGTTCTCCACACCGAGGTATGCTCTTGTGGCGCCCCCTCGCATCCTTCGCACCGCCGACGCGAACCGCTGGGTCACGCCTAGCCCCCCGGCGCCGCCGCTGCCGCTGCCGCCGTCTGCAGGTGGTCCCCTCTCGCCGCCGTCCCAGTCTCCACCGCTACCGGGACCGAAGCTCGCCCCTTTGGCGTCGCGATCAGGGCCGCCGGCGACGGCAGCCGAGACGGCCGAGCTCTCGCGCGGCCGCGAGGACGCCTGCAGCGCGCTGCCTTCCTCGCCATCGGGAAGGCCATGGCTGCTACCCCCGCCGTCGCCGCCAACAATTTCACCAGGCATTCTGCCCTCGTCCATGCCCCCGCTCTCACCACCAACACCGCCGCTATAATCCGGGAAAAGTTGGTCGCCGTCTTCCCCGTCCCCGTTGGCGACACTGCCAACCGCCGACCCATCGCCGCTCCTTTCGCTGGCGCCGACATCAGACCGGGAGTGTGCAGCCCCTTCTGGCGGCGGCGGCAACGACGTCGGACCCAAGCTAGCTGCCAGTTTCCGCAAGGCCATCTCATCCGTGGACTCTCCCAGGGCTTGCGGGCTATCACCGCCGTATTCCGAGGGGATCTGGCACAAAGGGGGGGACGACAGACGCAGAGCAGTTTCGTACAACCGTGAGGCGCGTTTCCAAAAGCCTAGCCTTGCAATCCCGTCTTGTCTTGCGGGCAACAGGCTGATCGAACATCCTTGTGAGCAGTTCTGCCTTACAATGCTGAATCAACTCCAACATGCGGGGGGTGATCCTTACGCCAAAGAGGCAGCACGCTTGGGCTCGAAACGTTTGGTAGTCACAGTATTCATACTACAATTACCAGTAGTCCGAAGGCAATTGTAATTGCCACATATACTACATGCCTGCACATATCACAACCAAAACATTGTTTCCGTTCGTTCTTGCTATTGCTTGAGTTTCCGCCTCTATCCAGGGCATCCTATTCTCAACTCTTCACAGTCAAAGTCACGCACTTTCCTCCGGGTTCACAAGGAACCATCAATAGCCCTTAACCAGAGCAAGCCCCAAACCGAAGAGCAAAAACCCAAAACAACCAACATGGCACTCAAAACCCGTACCGGTATCACATGCTATGCAGCAGTACTGCTTCGTTCGGCAAAATCACGTCGGCCACAAACACACAAAACACCTGCGAAGCGTCCACGTGCTCCAGCAGCGTCGGCAAGAAGTTCTTCCCCCTGATCTGCAGCTTCGCCTGCGTCCCCGAAGACAGGACTCCGGACACCCCCTTCCAGATGCCCGCGAACCACCACGGGGCGTTCACCACCAGGATGCGGCTCTGGCGCTCGGGGTAGTGCTTCTGCATCACTTCCGCAGTGGCGGCGAGGTACCTGACGGGGGG